ATGCTACCGTACGTCTACGAAGTGACGAGCGCCCCTGCCAGCAGGATCACTGTCGCTGACGCACTGTCACGCCAGCGGCTGTCCACTACAGGGCCCGTAGAAGAAGCCGATGAGGAAAAGGTCGTCATCTGCGTCAGGGGCGAACACCTATCACCGCTAACGGAGAAGAAGGTTCGAGAGGCAGCTGTAAAGGACCCTGAGGGGTGTTCACGGGCACCGCACACTGCTGCGTGCGGTGTGTGCGGTGCGTCCAGCAGGCGTGGGGGTAGGGGATGGGTAGGCGGCTCTGACGTCACGGCTGCGTGCGGTGAACGATCCGCTGTGGCCAGTCCCGACCGGCCACAGCGGTCGCTGTGTGCGGTGACGGAAGGCTGACGTAGGGACGCAGTGGGCGGAGCTTGGAGGCTGTGTGCGGTCCGACCGCACACAGGGCCCGTGAACAGCCCTCAGCTCTCCAGCAACTGAGTGACGTCATCCTTTCCACTTCAGCAAAACTCGTCCCCTGCTGTCATTTCGGAATTCGGCAACACCGTGAGACTTGCTATAGGCATGTCGTGCCACTCTCCGTATCTCAAATCGTCCATTTGATACTGATGTCCATTGATACGGCTTTAAAGATGCTTCAAAGACGGCAAAAACCCATACGTCCTCGCGACCGAACAGGATAAACTCAATGCAGACAGCATATAACCACATGTCAAAAGCCCTCACGTCGTCCTTGTGTAGTGTAGCGACGTATTGGGTTTTGACGTTGCAAGCATTTCATAATCTGCAAGAACGTCTATGGGTTTACCGACGTGGATTTTGTCACTGGCACATAGGTTAGCCATGACGTGTGGGTTTTCGCCGACGTAGTGGGTTTTGACTGTGTCACTTCCGTGCTTTTCAAAGACGTGTGAATTCCAAAATTTGTTTTTCCTCTCCCAAAAAGCTTTTTTTGGTTTTTGAAAAAAATCCTCATGGCATGAAATAGAGCTTTGCAAGCTGGTCACAATGGTGTAAAAAACGAAAAATGACCCAAAATTGACATGTGGGGTTTTGACTTTGGACGGCAGAATGTGTTGGACTTGGTGCTTCATGCTTCCTTGTCTGCCGTTTTCTTTGTTTGTTAGCCATTGCCGCAAGATACATAGGTGCCTCTACTAGCGAGTCTAAAAAATCGGGAGGGGCAAACCATCAACATTTATTGTTTCTTTGCATATAAAAAGGTATACAAATTTAACAAAGAGGGTATTTAATGCAGGAAATTTCAATACGTTTATGAAAATAATGCAACACGTAAAGCTGATGCAGGCGATGTAAGGCGCCAAACCTTTCACTTACTTTTTTTGCGGTCCTTCTTCCGCTGTTCATGGCCTGTGGACATTAAAAAATATAGTTAACATTAGGAATAGAACCACTTAACCATGTAATTCTGTTAACATTACATGGTTATGCATGAGAACATAAATTTGGCCGGGGCGTCGCAAGTCCATCTACGACACGTCGCAAGTTACGACACATGTCCCGTCGCAAGTTGTGTCGTAGCGAAAAAGGAGGGATGTTGAGGAAAGAGGGGTTTGTCGGAGGATACGACAGAACGTAGCTACGACGAGGCTTAAATACCCGCTTTACTCGAGAATTTAAAAGGCTACACGATCAGCTGATCCCGTAGTAAACGTCAGTAAGGTCGAAAACTCTATCACGCATAACGGAACATTCGCCTTTCTGGTTTGAGAGCTTATGAGACAGCCAGGTCAAGCATGTTCTCTGATTCTGAAGCTTTGTCTCAACTGGGTGACTTGTGATCGCTAACGCTCACATAATTTGCCATAAAATTTGGGGTCGATCACAGGAGATTCGTGGCTAAAGAGCATCTAGAAGCTATGCTTTAGAAGAAATGAGTTCAGAGAGTTTGAAGTCACAGAGAGGTAAGAGAGTTGAAGTTGGAGGTCACAATTGGAGGTTACAGAGGTCATCTGGGACACGTCAGGTCACAGAAGTCAACTTGGGGACACGTCAGGTCACAGAGGTTAACTTTGGGTCATCACAGAGCTCAATTGGAGGTCAACTGGGACACGTCAGGTCACAAGAGTCAGCTTGGGGTCATCAAAGAGCTCAATTGGAGGTCACGGAGGTCATCTGGGACACGTCAAGTCACAGAGGTCAACTTGGGGTCATCACAGAGCTCAATTGGAGGTCATATGGGTCATCTGAGATACGTCAGGTCACAGAGGTCAACTTGGGGGTTATCACAGAGCTCTATTGGAGGTCATGGGGGTCATATGAGACACGTCAGGTCACAGAGGTCAACTTGAGGTCACCACAGGGCTCAATTGTAGGCCATCTGGGGACACTTCAGGTCACAGAGGTCAACTTGGGGTCATCAGAGACCTCAATTTGAGATCAGCTGGGACACGTCAGGTCACAGAGGTCAGCTTGGGGTTATCAGAGGTCACTTAGAGGTCATAGAGGTCATCTGGGACACGTCAGGTCAGAGAGGTCAACTTGGGGTCATCACAGAGCTCAATTTGAGATCATCTGGGACACGTCTGGTCACAGAGGTCAGCTTGGGCTCATCACAGAGCTCAATTGGGACACGTCAGGTCACAGAGGTCAGCTCGGAGTCATGAGAGAGCTCAATTGGAGGTCATATAGGACTCGTCAGGTCACAGAGGTCAACTTGGGGTCATCACAAAACTCGGAAGTCATCTGAGACACGTCAGGTCACAGAGGTCAGCTCGGAGTAATGAGAGAGCTCAATGGGAGGTCACGGAGGTCATCTGAGACACGGCAGATCACAGAGGTCAACTGGGGTCATCACAGAGCTAAATTGGAGTCATGGGGGCCATCTGAGACACGTCGTTTTTGGAATTGGGAGAATCTTTTGGGGGATGCCCCTCGCAACGTCCAAGATCGCCTTTCTGGACTCGCCAGTAGTTGCTGGAATGATATAAGGCTGCTTTGTATCCCTGAATACCCCAATGAATTTTAATATAACATATTATGCACCATTTTTAACACTCGCTGGCACGGATTGAGGCCTCACAGATGACCCGTCGGTTCAAGCTCTATAACTCGCGTTAGCGTCAACGGATTGTAACCAAATTTTAACTCAAGTTCAAACAATTTTACACTAACCATGTAAATTTCGTGACCATGGCCCGAATGACCTGTGACCTGTGACCTCTTCCTCAAAGCAAGGTTAGCTTACGACACAACTTACGACTGCTATTTCAAATTCGTAAGTTGTGTCGCAAATCAGGCAACTTGCGACAGGCTTTACTACTTAAGTAACGCTACTCATCGATTGATCCCTCCAAAAACGACTTACTACACAACTTGCGACACGTCGCAGTTACGACGAGGCTTACGACGCTCTGGATTCCTCCGGCCAAAAAGATCTTTTCGCTTCATGTCTTGTTAAAGATTTTGAGTTTGTCGTTTCGTTAGCACGACGTCCCCTAAACCTGCACCTGTCTACTGCTTTTTTTTTTGCCACCCCGAACAAGAACGACTGAGGAGGAGGGGGGGCTTGATACGACCCCACTTACGTTTCGCTCCCATGGAACTAAAAACAGCAAATTTTCATGGGAAAGGGGCTCATGAGTCCTCGCTCCCTAACTACATCAATATTTAGAGGGTTTGCATGATAAAAGCCAGCATTAAAAATAAAAATGGCGCTTTTCAGCACGAAACGCTACGTGTCTCGAAAAAAAAAACATAAAAGCTAGAACAATTTAAGATAGCATTCGATAACTTAGAACAAGCCCTATCGAGCTTTATCAAAATATTTTGTCTCAATACGTTAAGCTCAAGATTTCACCAAAGGAGACGCAGTGAGTGTTGCTTAAATACTTTTTTGCATATGACATTTCATATGTAACAGATTTAGCAAAATTGCAAACGAGGCCGAGGGTAGACGAGGTTGGGTGGCGGGCGGCGCTTCACGCCGCCATCGAGCTGCTATTGCAAAAAAAAAAAATCGCCCATGGGTCGGATTCCCTCCCTCCTCAGACGGACGTGAGTAAAGGCATTCTCGCATGGACAATGCAGTTATTGAGCGATACGCTTATTATCCTGCATCGATCGCAGTGCTTCAATAAATGCATATGAACTCACCTATGCAATTGCCCTCCCACTATAAAACTTCAGGCCGGACTATAGTCTGTTCCATATCAAGCTTGCGGTCGGAGTCCCCTTGGCAGTTCCAGGCAATTCGCTGAGCGCGCTACTCCATTCAATAATTTGAGTCTTAGAATGTAAGATGTATGCACAGAAATCACGCACTGCCTTCAACAGAGCACTTCAGCCGCAAGCTTGACATGGAACACACTAGAGATGTAGTGAATGCGCCTCACCTCCTTCATCGTCCTCTTGGCGATCATCAGCCGGACCGCCCTCATTTTCAGAGCCTGGCTCGTCGAAGTCCTCTGAAAAACCGTCTCTGTCAGATTTAAGAATATGTGTGATGCAAAATAAGTGCCTGCCATAATGGGCAAGCATTTCTGAAAAAAAAACGCTGAACGGAACATATGTGCTACGGTGGTACCCGGACTGCTTTGGCTATCCGCGCTCGTCCTTCATCTGAAGTACAGCACCATGGGTCTGCATATAACCTAGTAGTACCAGTGAACTTTAACGGTCTTACATTGCCTTCGCTCTGTACGATTCTCTTCATGGTGTTATTGCATTGCCTCTTTAACACTACATTGCAAATTAACCCGCGCCCCGCTGGGCTATTCAGCCATACGCGCCCTGCTGGGGGGGGGCAGATTCTGCCCCCCCTGTCTAACTTCCGAACCGATGGTCGTAGAAAGACGGGGAAAACGGCAATCGAAAGCTCTCAACAAGGCGGATCTTAAGAGCCAAATTTTTTTGCTTAAGTAGGTCAGAGGTCAGGTCAAGGTCAGGTCAAGGGTACAAAATGCAAGTTTCTACAGTATCGGCCTTGCACCGTAGTTGCCGAAAAATGGACTGAGACTGATTGCCCAAAACGTGTTCTTAGACTACCAAGACAATATTCGTCGCACACAAGGTCATTCAAAGGTCAAGGTCAAGGTCAGGTCAGGTCAGGTCAGGTCACCAAAAACAAAATATAGAAAAGGGCATGTGCGACACATGTTTTATGGGTCATTTTACTCATGGAATTCAATAGGCACACTCAATAAGTGATATGGACCACCTCTGGATGAATTTCAGGTCGAGGTCAGGTCAAGGTCAGGTCAAGTGAGGTCAAATTTTGAAGTTGGTTGTTAAGGCCTTAAAAGGTGTCTATCCGATGCAGTTTTTCACGGCGAATCGAATGGTGCTATTTTTGTTTCCGTACGAGGTCTAGAACTTCCAAAAAAATCATTTTTCAAAATTTTTGTGTGGCGTGACGTCATAAAATTTTGAATAACTCCCACATTTTTGAACCGATTCTTCTAAAAATTGGTATGTAGGTGCACATAGACCACTTCTTTGACATATATTCCGGTTTTTTCGCTAAACTCAAAATTTTGGATTTTATAAATATTTTCCCAAAAAAGTCAGTTTTTTGGAAAAATGTTGGCCAAAATCCAAAATTTTCAAAAAACCGAGATAGCCATTTGATAGACAAAGTAGAATCACGTATAACCTTTTTTGTTACGTCTTGATTCCTTTAAAAATGAAGATGTTAGCGGCGTTTGAAATTTTGCCGTTTTTGAGGCGAAAATGGCGAACATGACGTCACTAAAACGTCAATTTCTCAAAAATTTTCCGACGGATTTCGCTCAAATTTTCAGGGAACGTGTCAAATTGATGTATGATAAGGTACTGAAAGTTTGACGTCGCTGGCGTAACGCGTTTAGAAGTTATTGGCGAAAAACGGGAGGGGGGGGGGCAGATTCTGCCCCCCCCCCCAGCGGGGCGCGGGTTAATGCTTTAACTGCATGAAATGTCTGCTAAAATGACAGACGAATGGTGATGTTACGATTAGCACATGTACAAACGATTAGTTACCTTCAGTGAGCATCTCCTCCAGGCTCCGTCCGCTATATTTTGAGAGGCATCCTTCGTCCAGCTTCATCATCAGGATGGAGGCACGCGTCAGTTCGTGAGTAGCGTCTGACAGTCTGTAGTAACCACGATGCACGTCTTTGTCATGTCCCATGTGCCGGGTGAGCACCTCCATATCGAATTCACCCATCTCTAGAATCTGGGACGTTGTAGCACAATATTTCCGTAGTTTTGTTGCATGGAAGAGATCTGCCCTGTTTAGTGCCATGTCCGACAACTGCTCTTTAAGCACCACGCCTGCGTTGTAGTGTCCTGTAGTCCTCGCCAGAGGGTTTGCGAACAGATACTTGTTATCCTTGTCAATGTACGTCTCCCGGTTGTCTACCAGTAGCTGCAGCGGAGCCGCGCAGTCGCTCGGTATCAGGGTGGGGACCTTGTTCCCGCACTTGCCGCGGGACATGACGACGTCGAGCTCGTTGAACAACTTCTTTTCTGTTTCACCCATTGACTTGTTCACTTCTTCTACCGTCTCTTGTTTGTACATCTCTCGGTTGATCCATGATTGCAGCAGGATGCTGCTAAGCTCCTTAGGACGGCGTTTGTTGAATACTAGCAAACGGGCGAGAACCGCTTTGCTCAGCCTTGCATAGTCTGTCATGCCATGTATTCCCTTTTCTGTCATTTCTTTCACTCGTTCCTTCATTTTTTCGGTGAAAAGCTTCAAATCGCTGGTAAAGGGCAGCATGTCTTTCTTGTCATACTTGTTCGACTCGCGGTTCTTCAGCGCTACGCTGCTGATCTTCACATTCCAGAATTGGTCCACGTGATACAAGAACGCCTCAGCATCTTTCACTTCGCTTTCTTCTTTCTTGATCAGCGCAATGCCCTTCTTGAGAGCAGCCAGCTGTCGTAGTTCGCCTCCAATCCGCATGGCCTTTGAAGGAGTTTTGTATGTGGGCAGCCCCGTGTGGGCGTTTAGCTTGTCCTGCTCAAACCCACAGACGGATTTGGTGGCACTTACAACCGTATCAAATCCTTCGCCATTGATCAGCTCTTGCATGCTCTTTCCGGCTGCTTGGACAACTTCGCCCATCATCCTTAGGCGCTGGCTTATCTGCGCAAAACCCGACCTTCCAAGTTTCGCGTGCAAGTTGGCACCCCACTTCTTCAGGAGTTCATCGTTCTTTATGGTCTTCGTAACTGCATCGTCGTGCATACGAGACAATATGTCCTTGTGATACCCAGTATTTTCTTCTTGGCCGTCACTCAGGAGCGTCCGGCTCTCTGCCAGCACCGTGGGAATGTCTGGGCATTCTGTTTTGCGAGCCACACAGTGATGTTTTATGTGCTGCATCATGTTGGTTTTAACCACAAAAAGATAGCAGTAAGGACATGGCACGTAGTCGTCCACGGACGCCTGGTCCGACTTCCTTCCCAAGATCATGTCACCTTCACCCCTTTGTAGGACGAGTTTGTTGTGCTCCATGTTGCCTTTGTTGATCATCACGGTGATTTTCATTTTTCGTTCCTGCTCAGAATCACACTCCTGGATATCCTTGACTTCCTTCTCGTCACGGTGGACCGTCTTGATATGGCGCCATATCAGATTTCTCTTTTGCTTGCAATATATGCAAACATTTTTTTTCCGCACTTCGCCGCACGATGCGCCGTTCCTCGCCGACTGAGATGTACGCGACTGAGAACTGTGCTGGGGCGGAGCCACCTCAACACCGTCGCTGACATCAGACTCAGCTCCCTGTTCTCCGTATTCGTTCTCCTCCAAATGGTGGTTCTCGGGAGCCGTGATCTCTGTTTGATTGCACATCAAGTGCTCAGGAAAAGTCCATGTGCCATGGTCCCCTGCATCCTGGACTGAAGCCCTCGAAGTAGAGCAGGTGGGTGACATAAGGTCGTACTCGCTTGCAGAGAACGGCGTCATGTCGATCAGTTCAGTTGGCAGTGCTGTTGAATAAGAGGTTTTTACTGACCCACAAACTCCCGTCTCAGAGGTAGGTGGGGAAACACGAGACGGGGCTCCAACCGTCGCCCCAGTAGTTGTACACAGATGAAGAGCATCCCATCTTCTAGCGTCCGGGGTCGGGACGGGCGGCAGGCCTCCAGCCGCAGTCTCGGAAGTCGCACGCAGATGACGGGCATCAGCCCGCCTTCCCGCTTCAGAGGTCGGGACGGGCGGCGGGGCTCTGGCCGCAGTCTCAGAAGTCTCACGCAGATGATGAGCACCCCACCTTCTAGCGTCCGCGGTCGGGACGGGCGGCGGGCCTCCGGTCGCAGTCTCAGAAGTCTCACGCAGATAAAGAGCATCCCACCTTCCAGCGTCCGGGGTCGGGACGGGCGGCGGGGCTCCGGTCGCAGTCTCAGAAGTCTCACGCAGATGAAGAGCATCCCACCTTCTAGCGTCCGGGGTCGGGACGGGCGGCGGGCCTCCGGTCGCAGTCTCAGAAGTCTCACGCAGATGAAGAACATCCCACCTTCCAGCGTCCGGGGTCGGGACGGGCGGCGGGGCTCTGGCCGCAGTCTCAGAAGTCTCACGCAGATGAAGAGCATCCCACCTTCTAGCGTCCGGGGTCGGGACGGGCGGCGGGGCTCTGGCCGCAGTCTCAGAAGTCTCACGCAGATGAAGAGCATCCCACCTTCCAGCGTCCGGGGTCGGGACGGGCGGCGGGGCTCTGGCCGCAGTCTCAGAAGTCTCACGCAGATGAAGAGCATCCCACCTTCTAGCGTCCGGGGTCGGGACGGGCGGCGGGCCTCCGGTCGCAGTCTCAGAAGTCTCACGCAGATGAAGAGCATCCCACCTTCCAGCGTCCGGGGTCGGGACGGGCTGCGGGGCTCCGGTCGCAGTCTCAGAAGTCTCACGCAGATGATGAGCATCCCACCTTCCAGCGTCAGAGGTCGGGACGGGCGGTGGGGCTCCGGTCGCAGTCTCAGAAGTCTTACGCAGATGAAGAGCATCCCACCTTCCAGCGTCAGAGGTCGGGACGGGCGGCGGGGCTCTGGCCGCAGTCTCAGAAGTCTCACGCAGATGAGCATCCCACGTTCTAGCGTCAGAGGTCGGGACGGGCGGCGGGGCTCCGGTCGCAGTCTCAGAAGTCTCACGCAGATAAAGAGCATCCCACCTTCCAGCGTCCGGGGTCGGGACGGGCGGCGGGGCTCCGGTCGCAGTCTCAGAAGTCTCACGCAGATGAAGAGCATCCCACCTTCTAGCGTCCGGGGTCGGGACGGGCGGCGGGCCTCCGGTCGCAGTCTCAGAAGTCTCACGCAGATGAAGAACATCCCATCTTCCAGCGTCCGGGGTCGGGACGGGCGGCGGGCCTCCGGTCGCAGTCTCAGAAGTCTTACGCAGATGAAGAGCATCCCACCTTCCAGCGTCAGAGGTCGGGACGGGCGGCGGGGCTCTGGCCGCAGTCTCAGAAGTCTCACGCAGATGAGCATCCCACGTTCTAGCGTCAGAGGTCGGGACGGGCGGCGGGGCTCCGGTCGCAGTCTCAGAAGTCTCACGCAGATGAAGAGCATCCCACCTTCCAGCGACCGGGGTCGGGACGGGCGGCGGGGCTCTGGCCGCAGTCTCAGAAGTCTCACGCAGATGAGCATCCCACGTTCTAGCGTCAGAGGTCGGGACGGGCGGCGGGGCTCTGGCCGCAGTCTCAGAAGTCTCACGCAGATGATGAGCATCCAACCTTCTAGCGTCCGGGGTCGGGACGGGCGGCGGGCCTCCGGTCGCAGTCTCAGAAGTCTCACGCAGATGAAGAGCATCCCACCTTCCAGCGTCCGGGGTCGGGACGGGCGGCGGGGCTCCGGTCGCAGTCTCAGAAGTCTCACGCAGAAGAGCATCCCACCTTCCAGCGTCAGAGGTCGGGACGGGCGGTGGGGCTCTGGCCGCAGTCTCAGAAGTCTCACGCAGATGAGCATCCCACGTTCTAGCGTCAGAGGTCGGGACGGGCGGCGGGGCTCTGGCCGCAGTCTCAGAAGTCTCACGCAGATGATGAGCATCCAACCTTCTAGCGTCCGGGGTCGGGACGGGCGGCGGGCCTCCGGTCGCAGTCTCAGAAGTCTCACGCAGATGAAGAGCATCCCACCTTCCAGCGTCCGGGGTCGGGACGGGCGGCGGGCCTCCGGTCGCAGTCTCAGAAGTCTCACGCAGATGAAGAGCATCCCACCTTCTAGCGTCCGGGGTCGGGACGGGCGGCGGGCCTCCGGTCGCAGTCTCAGAAGTCTCACGCAGATGAAGAGCATCCCACCTTCTAGCGTCCGGGGTCGGGACGGGCGGCGGGGCTCTGGCCGCAGTCTCAGAAGTCTCACGCAGATGAAGAGCATCCCACCTTCCAGCGTCCGGGGTCGGGACGGGCGGCGGGCCTCCGGTCGCAGTCTCAGAAGTCTCACGCAGATGAAGAGCATCCCACCTTCTAGCGTCCGGGGTCGGGACGGGCGGCGGGGCTCTGGCCGCAGTCTCAGAAGTCTCACGCAGATGAAGAGCATCCCACCTTCCAGCGTCCGGGGTCGGGACGGGCGGCGGGGCTCCGGTCGCAGTCTCAGAAGTCTCACGCAGATGAAGAGCATCCCACCTTCTAGCGTCCGGGGTCGGGACGGGCGGCGGGCCTCCGGTCGCAGTCTCAGAAGTCTCACGCAGATGAAGAGCATCCCACCTTCCAGCGTCCGGGGTCGGGACGGGCGGCGGGGCTCCGGTCGCAGTCTCAGAAGTCTCACGCAGATGAAGAGCATCCCACCTTCCAGCGTCAGAGGTCGGGACGGGCGGCGGGGCTCTGGCCGCAGTCTCAGAAGTCTCACGCAGATGATGAGCATCCCACCTTCCAGCGTCCGGGGTCGGGACGGGCGGCGGGGCTCCGGTCGCAGTCTCAGAAGTCTCACGCAGATGAAGAGCATCCCACCTTCTAGCGTCCGGGGTCGGGACGGGCGGCGGGCCTCCGGTCGCAGTCTCAGAAGTCTCACGCAGATGAAGAGCATCCCACCTTCTAGCGTCCGGGGTCGGGACGGGCGGCGGGGCTCTGGCCGCAGTCTCAGAAGTCTCACGCAGATGAAGAGCATCCCACCTTCCAGCGTCCGGGGTCGGGACGGGCGGCGGGCCTCCGGTCGCAGTCTCAGAAGTCTCACGCAGATGAAGAGCATCCCACCTTCTAGCGTCCGGGGTCGGGACGGGCGGCGGGGCTCTGGCCGCAGTCTCAGAAGTCTCACGCAGATGAAGAGCATCCCACCTTCCAGCGTCCGGGGTCGGGACGGGCGGCGGGGCTCCGGTCGCAGTCTCAGAAGTCTCACGCAGATGAAGAGCATCCCACCTTCTAGCGTCCGGGGTCGGGACGGGCGGCGGGCCTCCGGTCGCAGTCTCAGAAGTCTCACGCAGATGAAGAGCATCCCACCTTCTAGCGTCCGGGGTCGGGACGGGCGGCGGGGCTCCGGTCGCAGTCTCAGAAGTCTCACGCAGATGAAGAGCATCCCACCTTCCAGCGTCCGGGGTCGGGACGGGCGGCGGGGCTCCGGTCGCAGTCTCAGAAGTCTCACGCAGATGAAGAGCATCCCACCTTCCAGCGTCAGAGGTCGGGACGGGCGGCGGGGCTCCGGTCGCAGTCTCAGAAGTCTCACGCAGATGATGAGCATCCCACCTTCTAGCGTCCGGGGTCAGGACGGGCGGCGGAGCTCCGTCCATCGCATGGGTAGCCGGTCGCAGCTCATGAGTCGTCATAGTCAAGTCAAGTCCAGGATATTTGTGGTATACATGATACTCAGTGGTGTGAGGAGGGGTTTCATCCACGCGGCCGGCTGACCCAGGAGATGAAGGGAGGACTTCTGGAAAGAAAAGATATGGCAACGCATAAGGAAGCATGGCGGTAGGAGGATGAATGCTGTCTTGATTTTTTAACCATCACCAGTGATTCGGCGAGTGATTTTAAAATGTAGGATCAGGTAGTGAGCCAAAAAAAGAACAATGTCTAAAGAAAAACCAGAAAAATGATTGAATTATGATGTGTTGATTAGCATAGATACAAGTAGATTTGGGTGGACTGAGTAACTGGTAACAACACAAATGTAGGCACCATAGTCACGTCTTACCTCGTCCATTTTTACGTGAGTGACGCTGCGCGCCTTTATGTCTGCCACGGGAGTGGAGAGCAGCAAGCAGCATCCTCTTCCCATATGATCCAGCTATGCGCCCTGTCAAATATTGATAGCTATTAGCTAACATAAAATACTAAAGGAAGTTTCCCAGCCAGCAATTGGTTTGGCTCAAGTCCGTTTTGCCCTAGCGACTCCGGCACGCCAGATTTGGGCCGGTGTAAACGGAACGCCGTCGGAATAAGAGTTTGGGTCGATATGGCTCTATTCCGGTTAACCAGTCTTTGCCGTAGCGTTCCGGAGCTAGTATGGCTTCGGACCGACAAGTCCGGCCGGCACTAGCGAGCGGTGGCCTGACCTGACCTTGCCGGAGGGGCCGTGACGTCACCGGCGGGCGGTCAGAGCGAGTCGGCAGAGCCTCACTCTACGCGGCCCGAGCGAGCAGTGAGGATCGGTGAATAGGACATAGGGGAGGGAGGGGAGGGGAGGGGAGGGGAGGGAGGGAGAGAGAAGAGAGAGAGAGAGAGAGAGAGAGAGAGAGAGAGAGAGAGAGAGAGAGAGAGAGAGAGAGAGAGAGAGAGAGAGAGAGAGAGAGAGAGAGGCGGCCGGCCAATAATTAGGCAGCCAACACTGAGTTGAATGAAGCACACGATGCTGACAACGTTACGGAGTTAACTATAAGATAATGTCATGCGTTTAATGTGATTGGATTTTTCACTTAAATGCTTTCTTCCTTTGTGACCCACAACCCCTAATTTGGGGAGGACAAGCTGCCCCAACGGTTCCTGACCTTATGAAAAGTTGTGGGGCACCGCCCCCACGGCCCCAGAGTTGTGGGGGCTAGCTGCCCCACTGCCCCCGGTTCCCGCGCCTATGTATGAATCTATGAAATTATGTTGGTATATTTCCGATTTCGATCCCTCCAGTTGGAGGGGCTCAAATACCTTACGAGCCCCCCTTCCCAGCCGAAAAGTTGGAGGGGCTCAGCACCCCCTAGCCCCCCCCCCCGGCTCCCGCGCCACTGCCCCCCCCCCAAGGCAAATCATGGGCATCATAGCATTTATTGCCCCCCCCCCCAAACTAACCGATGAGCCCCCATGGGGGTATGGGGCCCTGGCCCTTATTCGATTATCACGAGGCTCAAGAAACACACGCCAGCTATTCGCACAGCTCCCATACCGGTCTTTGAGGGTCCTACAATGACCTCTGAGGGTCCCTCAGTGGCGGTCATGCGCCCACCTTGACCGCTGAGCCCCCAGCATGACATTAAAAACTCAGACCACCAGCACGGCGCAGGTTAATAGCATCTGCAAATTTGAGCACTCTACTAAGCTATGCCTTCGTCGATTGTATTTACATAAATTTTGAACATGAGACCTAATACAGCTCTGAGGAACCCCAATCAGAACATTTTTCCCACCTTGCCCTTCACCCATTTAGCACTATACGCTGCTGGCGTCCTGTCAACCGGGTCTAGTATATTCCCCTTCATGCCTTGCAGCTTCAATTGCAATACTATCCTTATGTGTGGTACTTTATCAAACGCATTATTGAGGTCAAGGTATGCTACCTACATCAAACTGCTTTCTTTGCCAAAAGTGTTTGTATCTGTCGCAGCTTCAAAAAAGTCTAGGTTAAACATAAACAGCCTTTATTTAACTCATGCTGGATATTGCCTATCACACTGTTTTCATCCAAAGATTCTACCACTTTCCCCTAGATTATGGATTCCAATATTCTGCAAACCAAGGAATACTTCGACAGTGACTGTAACTCACCTCGTTTGGTATCCATCTGTGATTGGATAGTGGAGACTGACGCCAACCTGAAAACAAGTGTTATTGGCAGTCAAGGTGTGAGAGGTGCATACACTAAATATTGCCGCTTGTATCATTGAAACTTTTACATCCGTCCGCCCGCTCATTGCCAGCAACACCAACATGACTAGGGATCCAGCAAAAAGTGATTGATGTTCCCTCTCGGTCGAGGGCTGTCAGACGGAGAAGAATCTCCTGTACGAGGAGGTCGGTCGAATAGAATTGTGTCAAGGCCTGGAGACCACTCAATGAGTCAGATGGGCTCCTATGTAGCCACACTTATCTCCATAAAGGACCAATGCGCCGGTTTCTGAGAGACCTTGCCGGCTTCTGAGGGCCCTAGTAACGGCCAATGAGGGATCAGCTGCAATGGCTCCACACCCGTCTGTGATAGCCCCACGGCCCACACCAGTGTTTCTAAAAGCCACCACATCGGCACCTGCGAGGCCCCTCACGCCATCTCCAAGGGACCCACATCAGCGCATCGCCCGTAACCCTCGCCGTATTGTAGTAACATTAACCCTCGCCCGTATTGGTGTTTTTCCAGCCGCGAACGTATAGGTAAGGGGGCGGGGCCCGTTGCCCCCCCCTTGCCGTTTCGCCTATGATTGAGCTAGAGTTTCGCAGAAAAAAAAAACGAGCGTGTTGCCCGTGACGAGAGGAAACCGATGACACCCAATATTAAGGTCCTAGTTCATTGGTTGACCTTCCAGGTCAGGTCAAAGACCCAGAAGTCGGGAAAATCGGGACCTGTTAGAACGTCGTAGTGTGGCAGTGTGGCTGATATGGGGGCTTTCGGGGTGTTGATCACGAATATCATGTTAATTTTGATCACAGATGATGTCCTCATGCATTTTAACTGGGCCGGGTCAGGTCAGGTCAGGTCAACCAGTAGGGGTCCTGCCGGGTCTTCGCAGTAGGTGTCAACCGCCTCTGACAGCTTCGTAACATGTTACGAAGGCACCAAAACTACTTCGTTAATGTTCATATGGTTGCTAAATTCGAATTCAGCTCCAAAAACTAGCCTAGAAACATGTAAAACTCGAAAAAGTGAACCGAGGTCATCAAAGGTCAATGACCTGACCAGACCTTCAGGTGACCTTGACACCCACCCTAATGCATGGGGGCAACATCATATCACATGTTTGAACGCCTGAAACCACGAAAAGACTGGAAACGCGCGGCTAATGCGAGCCGACATACGCCGAACCGCGATTCCGGCCAAACATGGGCTCGAAAAGTAGGTCACAGGTCAAAGGTCATTTAGGTCAGGGTCATGAAATTTTTAGGGTAGGTGTAAAATTGAATAACCCGAGGGTACTGAAAGTTTCGTCGCGATCGGCCGCTTTTTACGCGAGTTATTCGCGAAAAACCGAGGGGGCCGTTCGACCCCTCCCCTACACGAACGTGGGTTAAGGGCCTACATCGGCGGCTCTGAGAGTCCCCAAACCAGCGTCTCTGAGGGCCACGTACCAGTGACTGGGCCAGTACCAGTGATGGCCTCTTACCAGCCTCTGAGTGTCCTTGCCAGTCTTAGTCTATGAACTATGAAAGGCCACTTTCCACTTTCAGGCCACTGTGCAGGGCCACGCACATGCCAATGATGGCCCCACCAGTGTCTCTAAGCCCTAAGGCCCCGCGGCCCGCAACGGCGGCTGTGAGGACTCAACACCAGCGCATCTGACGGCCTTTCACACCGGTGACTGAGGAGCTCGCTTGCTTCGTTTGCTCGTAAAATACCATGCACATTAGGCACACTCCTTGGGCATAAATGGTATTTTTACGTGCCAATTTTTAACATTTTCTCAGGGCAGACCGTTTTAAAGAGGCCTGTCTGCCAGTGGGACCGGACCCACCGTGCCCCCCTCCCATCGAAAGGTCCTGGATACGTCCCTGCCTGGGCTGACCCCGGGCCCCCGGGTGACTCGCGGGCCCCTTCAAGAGCAGGTGATCCCCTCGTGGGCGAAATCCTGGGTACGTGTCTGACGTACATCGTGCATAGTTAATCCAACAACTATTTGTCATGTTGATTTGATTTTTTAAAAATAAATTTAGTCCGAACCTTTTGATGGGAACACGGGCGTAGGAACGTCATGAAAAGTGGGTGGGCCACCCTGTCAAGGGGCCTCCTTTTCCAGGGGGCCTCCTATTTTCAGGGGCCTCCAACTTTTGCCTCGTCCTGCCGGCTGCTTTCAAGTATGACCTCCAAATCTAGCTTCTGAGATCGAGCAGATGTACCCAGGGGCGTAACCGCTTCAGCGAACAGTGCGGGAAGTCCGCACCATTTTTAAAACTTATTCTCCCTCCGATTTTTTTTTAGAATCTATATGCCGCAAACGGTGCATGACCCCTGAAAACCCTTACACAAATGTCTTCCTCGTTTCCCAGGTGCCCCCATTAGCTTTATAGGCGCCCTCTTTGGCATATAAGCGCCCTATGTATAGTCATCAGAGACATCCCTATATGTCCCACAGTCGCCCCGTTGTCGCATACAATGTGCGCTTATCATAGGCGTCTCTCTTTTATGGACACTTGAAGGCGCCTCTCTTTGCCATGCCGGCGCCCCTGTTTCTTATGAATGCACCCTCATGGCATCGATCCATTGCAGTGCAGACCTCTATTGCATGTGGACGCCCATATATGTAGGCCTCAGAGGCACCCCTCTTTCGCATTAAGGCACACCTAAGGGCTTCATAGGCGCCCTTCTATTGCACGTAGGTGCCCTACTGTCTCAGAACCGCTCCCCTTTGGCATGCAGACGCCCATCTTTCGACAGAGGAGCCGCTGTGGTTCTTAAGACGGCATGTTACTCCCAGACGCAGATGGGGCTCTCGGAGTCGGGACCTTCAGTCGATGATGGGTGCCCGCCAGATGTGGACCCTCGGAGACGCCGGTATGGGGCCCTCAGAGATGCCGGTATGTGGCCCTTAGAGACACCGGTGTGGAACCCTCAGATACTTCAGTGTGAAGCCCTTACAATTGCTGGTGTGGAGCTATGAATGCGCTGGCTTAAATCCCTCAGAGGCCGGTACATGGACATTAGAGCTCAGTGAGAGCTTGGCTTGTGTGGTGCCTTCAGTGGCCTTGTGGAGCCGTTAGACATCAACATTCAACATG